TAATGCTGGATTTCCACTAGGCATTAAATGGCAAAAATGACAAATGGCAAAGTCGGGCATTAAAAGAAAACAGTAGGTTTGTATAGTAACAAATAGTCAGTACTTATTTGCACTGGAACCTGCAAATTTTTACTGGAAAAGTGTAGAATAACCCAAAAAATTTGCAAGAGAGCCCTGAATCGAGATCGTAATAACACGGGAGAGCTGCAAATTACTGCACGTCTATACCTGCTATGGGCGCTCGCATACAACTGTCAGTTTTCTCGCATACCAAATCTTATCGCAGTGCGATCAGTGCGAATCAAAGCAAATATGAAAAAAGGTGCTAAACCCATAGTTAGGTATACGACAAATGGTATGAGATATCTCTTATTTTATATCGTATACCTTTTGCGATGCACGGTATGCGAGCGCCCATAGCAGGTATAGACGTGCAGTTTCCATTAAAAAAATGGTCATTAAGTTCATTTCCACATGGCATTTTGTATGTGTTTCCATTTGTAATTTTTGAAAGAGTACACTTTTTGTAATGTTTGTAAATTCTAGTCATATACTACGTTTATACGCACAGAATAATCGACTTAATTGAAAGCGCATTGACACCGTACACATTTCGCTCTAGTGTTTATACTTACGGCTTTATATCGGCATCAAAGTAACCGTCTTCAAAAGCAAACAAAATTAGCTGTTTTCATTTGACATTTTATAAGTTAACATAGTGGAAAGTGATAAAAATCTAGTTTTATTCGGCATTATAAAATCGTGGCAAAGAAAAAGAACGATTATTATTAATCAGCTTTTAAATACTGATGCGATTATTTGGAATTTGAGCGGAACAGCTGATCTCNCCAAGGTTTTTAAAGTTAAAATTTTTTCGTTATTTTTTTCATAAAAGTATGGTTCATGCTTTAACCGAAACCATATAAATCAAACTTTCAAATTTAGAAAAATTAAAAAAAAAAATTCATTAAAATTTTTAGCTTTTTATCTGATTTTTTAGAATTATTAAATTTACAAAACTGCATATTCAAAACAAAATTCTAAAAACTCAGATTAAAAAGCTCACAATTTTAATGAAAATTTAACTTTATTTAGGCTCTGTAAGTTTGATTTATATGGCTTGGTTAGAGCATGAAACAGATTTTTTACGAAAAAAATAACATCAAAATTTTAACTTTAAAAACCTTGCCAATATTCAACAAAACTTACCATGTACTCATCACTGCTCCCCACTGCACATACATAAGTTATTATCTACTAATATTTGTAATATTATCTGCAACTATTGAATATTAATTTATACCAGTTTTTTAACTTATTTAGTTCGTTATGTTTTTATTTGTAAGAAAAAGAACTGCAGCCAACTTTTTTCTTATCTGTCACTCAAAAAAAAAAAAAAAAAAAAAAANATCGAAATAATGTCAACTTGAAATAAATAACTCAGTCAATTGACCCATGTAATGTAATGAAGTTGCGTTGTGCTTGCTGGCTTGCTGCTGGTTATTTAGGTAACATATCTATGTATGTACAATACAACTCATAACGCTTCAACGCCTTGATGTAGGCTACATTTTCCCTATACAGCTAAAATTACTTTATTGTTACCAGAAGGTTGAAGCGTGGCTGAGTTGAGGCAAAAACTCAGCCTTTTATTTTTAGCACAAGTAGGTAATGCCTTCATGTACATATGTATAGACAAGTATGTACATACATATGTATGTATGTATGTATGTATGAGTTCTCATTTGTTTGGATTGCAACCTTTGGGAGTGTAGTTTCAGGTGTGTGCATACTATGAATTTATTTCGCAACAGCTTAATGAGCATAAAAGTACAACGTTGGTGTATGAGGAAAAAATGAGAGCAAAAAATATAGGCATATTTCTTGGATTTAAAACTTTAATGAATTATTCCAGGCATTATAGTTTAGTTGCGTAGTTTAGTTGCGTTAATCACTATTCGATTTTTTTTTTAATTTGAAATTTTCCAAATGTCTATAGAACATTGAACACGGACGAACATGCATACATACTAGTGACCGATCGAAGGCTCGGCCTGGCTTCGGTATGCAGCCTATTCGGCTGGTTTTTTTTTTATCTTCGGCTTCGGCCTTCGGCTTAAAATGCCGAACAATTGGCCAGTTCAGTTATTGTACGACAGTTGTTGAAGTATTATTGTTGTTTCACATCTGTACATAACACTTTTGGAAGTGTAAGAACTCTATATCGATCCCTTTGCTTAAAATTATCGTATGTTATAAAAACCAAATTTTACAGGAAAGTGTTTTTTTGTATTTTTCTCTGCTTTGGCTAGCACCATTAATACCATTACATAATTAATTTGCTGAGATAATTGAGAAATATAACTAAACACAACACACATTGATTAGGCCAAAGACACTCGGCAAACCATTCCTGCAGAATATTTCAGAGTGCAGCTGCCTCTCTCTGTATGACGTACGGAAATTTTTTAAAGCCGCCAAATGGCTGTAGGTTTCACGAGTTGTGGAATCAAGGCGCAAGGGGTATATTAAAAAAATTCATAAAAGTGATACAATTGCGTTTTGGCGTGATTTTGTATAAACGCGAGCGCTTTTTGGAAGTTTTTGCAACGCGTGTCAGAAAGAGCATTCCCTGGGAAGTGAAGCGTCAGAAATCAAATAAGCTTGAAAAAGCATTTACAATTGCATCCTTCACAATACCAAAAAATTTTAGCGGCTGTGGAAAAATGTATGTTTGTAAGGTGTTCCATTTATTTAAAAAATAATAAAAATAATTTGTTACGAAATAAAAAATCACGGGCTTATTATTTTTGAAACGAACAACTTAATTTTAATGTTCGGCTTCGGCTTCGGTTTTCGGCCAAATATTGAATCGTACATGCATATGTACCATGTAGATCCATATTCCTGTCAAATGCAGCCAATCAGCCGGTTCAGCGCTTAACCTCCAGCATTGAATAGATTTTTGATTAGCTTTGGCGCTGCAAACGCCCACTCCTTCTGCCAATGTTTCACTTGAACAATTTTTCAATTTTGCTACTATGTATTGAGTAGCTGTGGACTGTTTTTTTATACCTTTACCGATTTTATTCTACTCTTTCATTTTAAATATTTGCCTTTTTTGCTTAATCATCGCAGTTAGTTTTTCAATTAAATTCGAGTCTTTTCTCTACAGTCTCAATTGTTTCTGGCCAGCAGGTAGTACAAGTACGTATACTTATGTACGTTTGTACTCAGCAATATTTATTTTTATTAATTAAAAGGTTCAAATATATATTTACATACATATCACCGTTTTAAGTGCAAAACCGCGTATCAACAAAATGCAAAACCGCGTATGTGAAGTTGTAGAAATTATTTTCTAGAGCGTAAAAATACTCATATTTCAAAATGGTTATCTTTTTTATGTTTATTGTGCATTGCATTTATTAGAGTAATTTGCTTAAAAATTAAAGCGTAAACCAAAAAATGTTTCACAATTTTTTATGCTAAAAGCTTCGGCACTAAATTTATTTTCCTTGATCCTTAAAATTTGTAAAAATTGTATACTAAATCCAGGTGCTATATTTTCCACATTACAAAAAACAATTTGAAATTTACACATTCAACTGAGCGAGCGCTTGTCCGAGCTTCTTCTTCAGGTTGCGCCATTGCATTGTCTAGTTGCAAGCGTCGCCTCCTGACGGCAGATGGCCACTCTCTGCCAAGCGGCGACTATTTTTTTTTTTTTTGATGTTGGTCGAGTATGCAATCGAATCTGGATCCTGCCGGTGAGTAATACCGACCATGTAATCGCCACTTTCCCATTACTAAAATTTATTTGGTAGTAAGTAGCTAGTGTAACTCCGCAAAGGCAAATAGTTTGTGAAGTTTTTGCAACAAATTTCTTGGGACCTCATTTGGAGCTGAAGTGCGAGTTATTACCGCGAACTGCAGTACATTTCTTTGCATCTAAATTTAATTATTTAAAAGAATGACGCAACACAAAAAAGAACATCCCAGCCGTAGTAATTGCATTCACCACACTCGTTGCTTACCGCTCGCTCCATTTTCAATTGCCGCGTATTACTCATTCTTGCACTTTTCCCTGTTGACTGCTGCCGTTGCGGGCCCATAGCAACTCGTAGCTGTGTTCTATTAATGAGACGGCAAAGCGTTGAGCCTCGAAAATCAAGTTATACGCATGTACGAGCGTATTCACCGCATACCAATCCCATGGAAAAAAAAATGCAATAATCATGCACTCGACTCCTAATCGGACCTAACTTGTCCCACTCGCTGCAGTCGGCATTTTTGGTTTTTTGCTTTTTCGCTGCATTTTTCTGCCTTCGTGCACTGTAGCTGCCACTTTGCGCTAATGCGGTTGGATGTTGTCAATATCAAGCAGGCGACGTGGACCAGCTAACATTGGCCTCCGTTAAGTTCAGTTATAGACAGCAGCAGTGGGTTATACGGGCTGATTTAAAATTCTACAGTGGCAGCTCCATTGTTATTGCAGCACATTCCTCCGATTGGTGTCCACATACACTTCGGCAGGCTGCAGTTGCAGCCACGGTGGTGGCGGCGACGGCAACAGTGGCAGCAGCGTCATAGCTGCAAAGAGGTCTTCCTCCTTGGTATGCTTGTCCCCACGCTTTTTGCAAACAAGCTGCCTGTGTATTCTAGCTGGTTCTGCCTCGCGCGTACCAGTACCAGATCCCATCCCGACCCAACGAGTACAGCGACGAAACGGCGCACAATCGTTGCTAAAAGTTTCGCTGACGAGATGCTCTCATTGATTCGACCGTTTGGCTGTGGCGCTCATTCGTCATCTCGTTGCCATCCACATTCATTTCGTTCGTGGCCATATTGTGAGTTTCGGTTCGTTAGCTTTCGATGCTCAACTCCAGTTTGGCCAATTGGCGTGTTGGTAGTTAAGTTGCGGTGAGAAGCGAGTTAGCATGTTTCTTGTCGGTGTTGCGTGAACGCAAAGAAGATAATTGTGAGCAAAAATTTACTATTACAAAGCTCCATTTGCAAAAAGAATCACACATACGCCTTCACATTCATAGTAGCGGTGTTGTAGTGCGAAAAATTTCACATTTGAAGTGCAATAATTGATAAAAGAAAGCAAACAAAGGAAAAGTCTGCCGCCAACGATCATAAGAAAAAAAAAAACGTAATATTAGTTAGAGAAGACGTGAAAACGTGTAAATTGTTGCAACGCGTCAGTAGTCGGCAAAGTCGGCAGCAGTGTCCAGCTAATTGTGCCGCAGAACCTTCTCTTTTATTGCGATTCGGTGTATACATATGTAGTTGCATACATTAACGTAATTGTTGGATTTGTTGGACGTTGAATTTTTTATATTAGGAATACCAAAAGTATCGGAGAATAGTTGCGATTGCAACACCCGTAGCGAACTCAGTTTGTTAAGGTAAAAAAAAACGCATGCATGCATACATAAATATTACACTGGATCACAAAATTTTAATTTGGTTTTTGTTCTCCAGACGCCACTATCCAATTTCTATGTAGCATTGCTTGGTGATTCCGAAAATCGGGTTAATTTTTTTTTCTATGGATACGTTTTCGAGATATTTGCAATTTACCATTATTCAGCTTAAAGCAAAAATTGGTTCCTTTTAATCACGTATATCTTACGAACCAATTTAAAAATCTTAATATAAAATAGGGCAAATAAAATTCCCATACACACCGTATATACATCATTTTCCGATAGGGCTTATAGTTTCTGAAAAATTTATTAATCATTCCAGCTTTTTTTTATTTTTTATTGAATGAAAAAATGAAAAAAAATCAAACTTTAACAGAACAAAAATTAAAACAAAAAACCAGTTCTGTGCCAAATTTTTGCATTTTTACTAAAGCCTGTTCTGTTACAATAAAAAAAAAAAAAATCAATACGAAATAATGAGTGGTCAAATGAAAATGCGCAAGATGTTTTGTATGAAATATGGAGCAAAAAAGCGTGTTACTTAGGTGTCCGCGGCGTATGAGAGAAGAGTGTCCACATTTTACTTCAAATAAAAAACTTTATTTTACAGCTACACAAAAATTTAATTTTAATTGCTTCCATATACGAGTTTTCATAAAATCTTTGAATGGGAAAGTTAATTAAATGAAAATAGTTACATATTTGTCTAGTTTATGTGCTCTCATAAAACTCGCCTGTTTTTCTATAACTCTCAAATTCTTTTTGTGTGTTTTGGTGTGTGGTTTCCCATTTGTTTACCCGCGTATGAATGCGACTAACAAATAAGTTAATCAGCCATCTATTCTAGCCACTCCTTAGCGGCTTGTAGACAGACATGACGACAATGTGTACATATTTCAATGTCATTGTATGGTAGGTACATATTATGTTTGTAGTTGTCAAGGGTGTGTTGAAGAAATGTGCCGTTAAATGCGACTTTAAAGAAATAGGTAAATGCAGAGAATCTTGCCTACTACATATCGATGGCTGAGTGGAAGATCGACCTATCTCGACAGCCAGTTCGAAAACGCCCTATCTCAGAAAATTCAGAATTTGTTTTAAGAACGCCTTATTTTAGAATTTAATTGAAAAACGCCCTAACTCAGAATTCGGTTCAAAAACGCACTCTCTCAGTACATTTTCAATGTATTTTCGTTTGAGATAGGGCGTTTTTGAATCGTCAGCTGAGATGGGGCGTTCTTCAACCAAATTTTGAGATATGGTGTTTTTGAATAAAATTCTGAAAGAGGGTATTCTTCAAAAGTTTTCTGAGAGATTGCGATTTTTTTCTTTACTTGGCTTCAGTTGCTTTGGAAATACCTCGTCTGCTTTGGAATTGCAGGTCCAATAGAAAATCTTCTAATACAACTTCCAAAGAGAAAGTCTTATTAAAAAAACATTCCAGAAAGAATTCTTAAGATTTTTGTAATTTCAAAGGTCGGTACAAACACTAAAAGCAAAGGCTGTTGGATGAGGAGATTCGGGTAAACCAAACAAAAAATGGTATTTTTTTTTAGACCACACTTTGCTAGTGTTTAATAAAAAAGTATAGGTAATACATTCTGAATTAAAATTATTATTTCTTACATAAATTATTTGCATAATTTTATTGTGGTATAAAATCTATTTTGTAGCATTACTAAATGCATAGATTTATTATTTGCATTATGCTTTTTATTATTAAAAACTTTATTACACGAGTATGTAGCATACATATGTAAAAACTTATTACCATTCAATAGTGTGCATGTTTTACATTAATATAGTAAGCGCAGAACTTTTAGCATTTTTGACGTTTTCAAACACTATAATTTTAAAATTTTGAACTCAAAGTCACATACTAATTCTTAGTTTCAATCTCAAACAACAACAGTTTAGAGCAAATAATTTTTATTTTATTTTAAATTTTATATGATTTTGTTATGTTGGCAAACTTCTAACACGAGTTGGGAGAACGGTTGCACCTCACTATGTTTTTATCATATTTATGTATTTCTTCAATAATTTCTAAAGCATTGCCGCTCTCTTTTATTCTGGTAGTACAAATTGTATGTATTAAATAAAAGCTCTGTGCTCTGCGCATTCAGTTTTAAGTGTCGCATTTAGTTTTAATAATAAACTGCATGAGGAATGCGCTCCATTATGGATGATGCATCACCACATAATGAATGCACAGATCATTCTCCCCTGGTAGTGGTGGCGGTAGTTGCGCAATGTAGTTGAGCAAATGAGATGACCGTTGCTGCGTAACAGGCAAATGAAAGATTATTTTAGTAAGTTTAACGAAATGAAAATTGAGCAAGTAATTTTTAGCAAAAAAAAAACCGACTTCAACTCTCATATAAAAAAAAAATATATATATATATCTCATGATCCGCTGATCGGATCTTAACCAGATTAGTATGGGACCACCTCTGAGACACTACCTTTCCGATGCAAAAATCGAAATCGGTTGACGTGGTCCAAAGTTATGCGGTAACATACATAAAAAAAAAAAATTAAAAAAAAAATCCGACGATCTGGAAGTCGGTTAAAAAGTAGCGAGTTTCTTACTTAAAATTTAGATTCCTTAATACATACTTCCAGTTTTTACATGACATTTGAAGCATCCGCTGACGATAATTTACCCCTTTGAATGCATGTTTTCGTGTGGAGCTTTTAATAGCATTCCAAATTATTTTTCCAAGAATTTCTCGAATACAAATTATATTATATTTGTTTTAGTTAATTGCTTCATATTTGGATGTAATATTTTCATCGTTTTAAAAACGGCTTGCCCATTTCTTCGTTTCATTCTCCGCTTATAATGATTTTTCTGGCAAAGTGCCTTTTGAACTTGTAATGGGATTATTGGCGGCGCCAAATTTCCATGGAATTCGCAGTTAGACATTCAGAGAGACTCGAATCACGTTTGCGTGCGCCTCTAACACCCACAGCCTTTTCAGTTTACTATATGCGTCTGTTGATTTGTAGTTGCAGAGTGGGGAGCGATTGGATGCTGGGTTGTAGCGGCGGTCTGTGCGCTTTACTTGTCTTCTGCTTTTCATGTGCTCGTTTTGCAAATATGGCGCTTTGTTCGTTCGTGCAACTAACTCCTTAATTACCTGTACAGTTCCGTTCGCCTTCTTTCTCATAATTCGACCAATCTTGCTCCTACTGCTCCACAATCCTACTTTGGGTGTGTTTTTACTTGTGCCAAAATAAGTTATTTAAGTTCGGCCCTGAGTGTGGGCGGGCTACTGAGTGTGTTGATTGTGTGAGTGACAGTAACTATCTATTCATATTTTAGCGCTCAAATGGTCGCGGAACAAAGTCGAACAGCTTTCAGGCCTAATTGGATGGTTTATGCAGCTTTACAGTGCGGTATCAAATTGATCATTGTGTTGCACCAATTAGTTAATTTTCTGATATATGTTTGTATGTATATAATTTTACTTACTTATGTATGTATATGTGCTATGATTTAGCTGTCCCCTTTTTGTGTTCAGTGTTATATGCATAATTAAAATTAATGTTTAATTATGTAGATACTTTGTTTTGCTTTGTTTGTCATCTTGTCAAGTGGCTGTAGTTTGTTGTTATGCACTGTCACCCGCAAAATCTGTTCACTCTTCCTCGTCGTCGTTTACGTCGTCCTTTAGACGCTTTTAAACTTTTCAGTTTTTATTTGTTTAATTTTTTTTTGGCACTCATTCATCTTAGCATCTGCGTTTTTTTCACCTCGTCTCTTTTCATTTTGTTTTATGTCATACGGAGTAGCTGTGTTTGCGCCTTCGCCTTCACCTAATTTAAAAGAAAACGTTTCACTTAGCAACCAACGTCAAACTCATTTTCATCCTTTTCAAATTTTTTCTTATTTGCCATTTATTTTTGCCCCTTCCATTATACCGAGTTTTCTTTGATATGCTCATTTCGTTCGAAATGGAAAATTAGCTAAGCTTCTTCGTTGACGCTTTGTCATGTCGCCACAGAAGATAAATTCTCTTCAGCATCTAAATATCGTTTTTTAACGATACCGATAAATTTTTATAACAGCCAAAAAGGCAATAACTGATTTCTTATAACAGCTGGTAGGCTTGGTTCTTTTAAATCAGGATCTAGCACAGAATTAATTTTGTAAGGAATTTATAAAGAAAATGGAAATGAACAATTTGTTTCTCAATATTACTGCACAATTAAGGCACCAGATTCAATTGATTTACATACTTATGTACTACATACATACATATGTATTTCTTAGAATGAATTTTGACTTCTAGAATACATTTCCTCTAATTTACATTATTTGCTTCTCCCTAATTTTATCATTTGAATTTGCTTGCTGTTAGTTAAGCGCTCATTCTCTTACCAAATGATTGCTTCTACTGTCACCACAGCACTTTCCGTAGTTTTTTGTTGTTCTTCTTCTTGTCAGAGCTTGTCGGCAACTTTATGCCTCGTAAAAGTTCTTAAAGCCAAGTGTAAGTAAAGCTGATGCCACATAAAACTTTTGCTTCGCTTTACGTGACAGATTCGCTTTGACAGATAAGATGAATTGTATGAAAATGCACAAAGCATGCCACATAAATCGTCGAAGCTGCAGCGCGAAGCGAAAAGATGGCCAACTCCCATCTTTTTGCGCGCTTTGACAATCAGCCAGTTTAATATTTATTTTGTTTCGTCCAAATTCGAGTTTTCATGCAGAAACATAAAACTTAATTACATTGCTGATAATTTTAAAGCAAAATATATGAAATCCACAGCAACTTTGACTAGTAAAAAAGCGGTACAAAATTGTTTTCTTGGCGTTCATTGTGGCATACCTTTTGCGTTTGGCGCTTTGCTGGCAAAGTTATAAATGTCACGCAAAGCTACAAAGTTTTATCTGGCAT